TAAAACAAATTGCAAAACCCATCTCTTCTCTCTAGCCTACAGCTTATCACAAAGATAATCTTTCCCTCTCAGTATAACTTCACCCTGCCTTCCTCTTTGTTTTCTGCTTCTGTGTTTTCCTGTTTGTCTTCTGGTGTTCTGTGTTTTATTATAATTGTACCCATCGTTGGCTTCTTGAAAAGAGCTACACAGGTTTCATTTATTTTTATTAGTGCTTTTTGTCTCTGGAACTATTAGTTTTGCACTGAAGCTACAATGCTAATGAATCTAACAAGTAATGGAAGGTAGTACTAGTGCCACTAATTACCATCATGTAAAGAAGTCAGTAGTCATTCAGATCTTTTCTGTAAATACATGCTCAAAACCTCTCTTAGCCTGCTCAAACTGCATCCATGTCTTCTTTAAGATCTTGTCAATGTGGTTCATGTGGTTCAGCGTTCATATGCTGGCGTGTCATATTTGCACATGAAGTGGAGTCAGAATTTGACACATCTGTTGTCTAAAATGGATGCCCACTACTTTCAGCTGCACTGTGAAGTTTTGTTCATTGTTATAGTCCACAGCAAGCAACACTGTGTCATAAACCACACTGACAAGACCTTAAAGGGGAATTCCACTGATTTTTCAACAGTTCTGCATAATTAAGTGGTCAAAATGTAAACAAAGTCATCCAGAGTGGTTTGATGCGAAATGGTTTATTGTAGAGAAACTTTCCAAAATCACCAGTGAGCCTACACATGTCTTCTGAGGTTTTATATGCAATGTTAATGATGGTAAAACAGTGGAAAATCAGGAAAAATATACCTCTTCACCGTAAATGAATTAAACAATATATGTTTTTCTGATCGCAAAACTATCATAAAACAAGTCTGTCACTAAGGCATTCATTCATAACCATTTCATGTAAGAACTTTCTGTGAGGGAGCTTTTAGAGGCATTCAATTCACTGTGAACAATTCTAACTCGAAAAGTTTCTCTGTAACGGAGCACTTCACACCGAACCACTCTGAACGACTTTGTCAACATCTCAATCATTTAATTATGCAGGAATTTTGAAAAATCAGTGGAATTCTCCTTTAACAAAGACCTGTATGTAGTTTAAGCAGGTTGAGAGAAGTTTGGGGACATATTTATGGAAAGAATTTGAGTGTCTACCCTGCTAAAAAAAAAAAAAACAGGGTATTGACTCTTGCTTGTTAGCGAGATTAGCCTCATAGCGCCTGTTCTATACTAAAGAAGCCAAATTTAGACCACAAGCATGTCTTAACTGATCAATTAGATCTGAGGTAAGTGGGAAATTGTGCAAATTTGATCTTAAACTGTTCCTTTAAGGAATTCACTGTATGACATTACTGTTGTCTACAAAAGTGAACAAACGTATGTCACATGGCTAAAAACAGTAGCAGCCATCTTGAAACCCGAATTTTTTTCATAGTAGTTATACATCCCTGCTAAAAAAGGATCTTTAGAAACTAGTAGGATTAAAGCCTAATGGTTTTGCTTTCCAATGGGAGTTGGCTTAAAGGGGAACTCCACCAATTTTGCAAAATTATTTAATCATTCAGTGAAAACCTGAATGATTAAATAATTTAAATAACAAAATCGTTCAGAGTGGTTTGGTGTGAAACGTAGCACCTCTTGTGAATAAGTTATTAGTGACATATAACAACCTATAACACACATCTAAGTTCAGTGGTCATGTTGAAAGGCACATAAAATGGTGATATTTGCAGTGTAGAATGTCCGAACAGATGTCCGGTTCCTAGTACTACAAAGGTAAACGAATTTGACTCTAGCAAATTTCTCTAGAAAGGTGCATTTCACAGCAAACCACTGATGATTTTGTTAAACCATTGAATGACTAAGTAATTTTGTTAAATTTGGTGGAGTTCCCATTAGAGACCTATATAGATCTATGTAGTTTCCAATGGAGTCCACTTGTTGTGTACCTAGCATTGTAACTTGCATAGCACTGTGAGAGAAAGAACCTTAGATAAGATATGAATGCATTTTTTTACTGTGCTGTGACAGATTACCCTGCCTGCTGTGTCCTGCAGGTAAGAGTGTAGAATTGGGTGAAAAGACGTTTCTGTTTGTTCGTTCTTTTGCGAGTCCTCATCTGTGTTTTTTAGGCCAGGTTTAACAGGTCCTGGACATAAATCTTTGGCAGGTACTGTGACTGCCATACACTGTTTCCTCTTGGTAGCTCTTTGTGTGTCTTTTGTCTTTCTGAACAATCCAGCATTTTCTGCTGATATTAGCCTTATAAACTGATACTGATACCCATCAATATCAATATACCATCTCTATTAGTTATTATTTATCAATTTTTCCATATTTGCCCAGCTCAAGTGTCAGTGTTCCAGTGTTCTAATCGTCTGGTTTGAGCTTTTCAGTTGTGGCTGCATGTTTACAACCAGTCTGTTTTCACTTAACAAAGCAGCTTGGTAATGACAGTGTTGAAGTTGTGCTTTTTGATATGCGGTTGGAGGGTTATTTCTGTGTATATCATGTACTACTTTTCCAGGAAACTGTCAGAGCTCAATATAACAATATTTAAAAGTTGCTAACTCTCTGTTGCTTTTTTTAAAGTAGGCCTTCTGCAAGTGCGGCTTGTGCACAATCATTAGATTATACTGAAAGCCAAAGGTCTTCATGCGTATATGTTGCTAATGTAAACATGCAAATAACACCGTGTTCTCTTATGAAATCTGTTGTAGGTTCTGTCTGTAACCTGTCTATTCTGGTCTTAGCTACATGTAGCAAATGACTTGGGATGGATTTGAATAAGTTTTATTAGAAAGAAGGTTGTATTTTACAGCTTATTTAGATTTAGGGTCTTTTTTAAACATTTGTCGGTTTCACCAGGTTGAATGTGTGTTGGCGAGTGAGGCTCACTATAGTACTGTTTTAATTATAGCTTGGTTGAAGCTCACAGTTAAAAATTTGACTCCTTTCCACTCATGTTTAACACAGTGTGGTGGTCTTTGTGGTGGTGGTGTTTTTCTTTCAGAGCAGTTCCAGGAAGCACTACCTTTTGTGGGTTTCTTAGCATTGTCTTTAGATGAAAGGCCTACCATGATACATCCTGACACTAGTTACCCAAAGCAGGTTTACAGTGATGCTCCCCAGTTAACCCAAATGTAGTCCATCTGCAGAGTTTGTTGTCCAAAGTAAGCTTTCTTTAGCTTTGGACGAGTGGGGCTTTGGGACAAATGGAGCTAACAATTGACGGAAGCCAGCAGTTAAAGGGCCTAGAAAACTAGAGTAATATGTTATTTGCCGTGCAATATTCTGTAGCACAGCGTTTTATCCCTCAGCCTCACGAGTTTGACAGAATTTCATGTTGCTTGCCACTCATCAGTGTTTTCTCACTACAATACCCAGCATGCATTACACATCATCATACCACTGGGAATCCCTGTGGTGTCAAGCAGTCCTCACTACCAGCCTTTCAACCCATCTGTAGGCTAACATACACAACCAAGCGCTCATCAATCCTGTCTTTGTTCAGCACAGAAGGGACACCAGGTACACGCTTTATTTTTCATTCTTTCAGTCAGAGAAAAGAAACCAAACTGAGGTAAATTGTCTATATAGCCTGGTAGCTACCTAGCTAACATTAGCTTTTAGCTTGTCCTCCTCATGTCCATATGGAAAAGAAATACAAGTAAATTATTTAAAAGATGTAAGAAAATGGAAAAAAGAACAAAAATGGAATGAGGCAGTGTGAAAAAGATATTCAGCTTGCTGGCAGTAATTCTTGCTACTTGCTTTCCTTCTACATTCAGCAACTAATGCCCTACACTATGCAAAAAACACTGTGCTGCTATTTTTTGTTCATCTAGGTACAAAAATGTAAATGTACCCTCAAAACAGTGGTTTAAGGTCCACCTTAAATAAGTTTTTCTGTTGAGAAAAGTGCATATTTGTACCAGATAAACAAGACTAATTATGCTCTCTTCCACCCGTCCAACCAGTTACAGCCTCCCAACAACAGCTGCTCCAAAAGATCTCACTGACATTATGTTCCCCTTCAAACAGACACTGACATTCACACAAGCAGCTACCCAAACTCACCTCAGCTGCCTGTAACATGTCTTTCTAAGCATGCAGTTGGTCAGTGTTCTTTAAGTACTGACAATATCCACAAAACACTCAGAAAAACATACTGTGACATAAGGGTGGGCAATATGACAATATTTTATCATTATCTTGCGATAAATTCTGTCACAATGCAGAATCATTTGCCGAGCATATCATGGGTATTGTCAGTACTTAAAGAACATTGAACAACTGCATGTTTCATTGGATTTAGAGCAGTGCGGTTTCTAAAACACTAAAAAAAAATCAATGTAGTTGTAAGTTTATTGTTGTTATTATTATTATTATTATAGCATTTTTATATGTGCCACTACAGATTCTATTTTGCCTGTTCCAGTGTGTTAAATCTAAGATATACTAAATATCGTGATGCATGTAGCGAAAATGTATTGTGATATAATTTTTTTTCAATATTGCCCACCCATACTGTGACGTAATTTATCACAGAAATGGTAAATATCATCATCCTCCCCATCCCTATCATTTAGGCGTGAACGATGCTAACATACTGACTACAGGTTTCATTTACTTGACAGCTTCATTAGCCTCGTAGCTCCAGTGCAAAAGCTAAAGAAGCAACCTACAGACACCAAGCCTGGTAAATCAATAACTTGTCTGATAGTCTGAAGGTACTAGGAAAATTGCAAACCATTGCTTTCAGAAAAAAGTGAAGCTCCCAGTGGGGAAAACAGAAGCTGGTGACGGTGCAGCAGGAGCTGCAGAACAGGTTTCATTTGTGTTATTAGACTTTACTCTGTTTGTCCTGATCTTATCCGGTCACATGTGACACATGCCCCTTTGCTCGCTCCTTTGTGTTTGCCTTTTTGGCTGCAGGCCAGTGCTGCCGTGTTTCTGTCTGATTAGTTCTGTCCTCTTGTCCTGTTGTGGAAGGTTAGGTGACCCAAACCGAGCTGGACCGCCTGAAGTCCAGTTACAGGCAGCTGGTGAGGGATGCAGCCCTGGCCAAGAGGAAATACCAGGAGGCCAGTAAAGGTAGGACGCCCAACCACCTCTCAGTTCCCTAAACAGGCCCGGCCTCCTCTGCTTCCACTCCACCTGCTATACGCTCTGGAAATAGTGCCGAACTCGCTGTGCCTTTCGCTTACAATCAGAGGAACTGTCTTTGTTCAGGGTAAACAGCGATATGAGTAAGCAGGCCCTTAGCCCCCAGTGCTCCACACATAATGACTCACTCTTGTTTTAAAAGAGGTTCATAACCATAACTTAAGGGTCTACAGAAACGTGTAGGTCCTGTCTAATTTGTGGTTTTTCATGTTAATGTGCTCGTTATGACATGAGTCAGTGGGGATGTATTTTTATAAACAAGTAAACAGAGCACTCAAGCACTGAATAGACTTTCCCCTTCTTACCCATCTGAACTCCTCCATCTGTACTTTCAATCTTGCTCTCTTAGATCTCCAATAATAATGCTAATCATAATAATACATGTTCTGCATGTATTATTAGCAGAAAACATACATTTAATAGAAAAATGCACAAAAGCCTCAAACACGAAGTGTAATATCAAATCTAGCAGTGTTTAACATGTCCACTGTTTACTTTTGTGCACCTACTGCCGATTTAACTCTTCCATCCAACCAACCAGTTACAGCCTCCCAAGAACAGCTGCTCTCAAAGATCTCACTGGCATTATGTTCCCCTGCCAACAGACACTAACATTAACACAAGCAGCTACCCAAACTCACCTCAGTTGCCTTTAACATGTCTTTCTGATGAGCATCAAAATGACTAAAGGAGATTAGATATAAGATAATCCACTTGCAAAGGGAAAATAAAAGTCAATGAAAAATAAATGGAAAGAACAGGAGTTTCCAAAACTGGTGTTCAAAAAAATGAATTTGCAGAGAAATTGGGACTCCTAACCTGCAAGACCTGGTAGACACAAAAACTGTCCCTATCAGAGAAAAAAAACTTAAAGCTGTCATCTTTGAGAGAGAGGAGAAAATCAAGTTGCTTCAGATCTGAAAACATCCACAGGTGTTTCTGTCCATCCTTCCACCGTGAGAAGACAACTCAGCACTATGAGTCTGAAAGGATGTGTAGCTGTCAAGAAGACCTCACTGAGAAAAGGAGACAGACACATCAAACAAAGAAGAACATGCACTAGGACACTGAATGTTGACATCTGAGATGTGGAGTAAGGTTTTATGGACTGATTAATCTAAATGTGTCATGAGACAGTGAGAAGGCAAGAAGCAGAAAATGCAACCAACTTGTAAGACTGAACTTTGGAGGTATGGAGAAACATCCCTGCAAATTTCTTTGAAAAACTGAAAGCAAGTCTCATAAAAAGAATGGAAACTGTAAGAAAGCTGCAAGAAATTAAAGAAGTAAAAGGGTAGTGTCTGACTTTAGTACAGTACTGTATATAACCATTGCCTTTACCAAAGAACCCTTCATGAACCCTTGTTTAGGCGGTTTTAAGGGTATATTGTTATGATAATGATAATGGTGACAACGATGGCGATTATTATTAGTAGTAGTAGTAGTAATAAACATTTTAAGATTTTATTATGCAATTTATAGCATTAATTCTAATCTAATTTCACATCTTAGTGTATAGTTGGCAACATTTTATTATTATAGGTTCTGTTATAGGTTCTGTCAAGTTTATGGCTTAATTTTAGTTTATTACTTAGAGCTAATAATGAAATCTGCCAATTAAAATCTACCAAAACCGCCAAGAATCAAATACTACCAATTATAAATTAGTACAATATGAATTTAAATCATAATTAATTCTAAATCATTTGTGTAATAAAGTTTTTACAAATGTATTGTGTTCCTACAACTAATAATGCAGTTATGTTGTGATTTTCATATAACAGACCTCCAATTATGTTCTAATACAGATCATAATGTACAAGTACAGCTCATTGCATAGCGAATAAACCATTTACAAGCGTCTGGTTTGGGCTTTACTGAACAAAGAATAGGACCTTAATAAACCTCACATGTTCCCCAAAATAAAGTGTTACTGTTATTATTATTATATTTATTACGATATTCTCTAAGAATTCTTGTGTGTGCGTGTTTCATACAGATAAAGACCGCGAGAAAGCCAAGGAGCGCTACATCAAAGCCACGCTGAAACTCCACGAGCACCACAACGAGTATGTGCTGTCAGTAAAGGCGGCTCAGGTGCACCACCAGCAGCACTATGGCCAGAGCCAGCCGGCACTGCTGGGAGCGCTGCAGACGTTGCAGGAGGAGATGGTGCTCGTACTGTGAGTGGAACACTTCTGTTTTTGGTTTACTCAGTTCTGACTGCGCTGAGGACTTAGTCTGTGCCTCTTTCACAACATTTCATAAACAACAGCATTATGAGGTTGTTAAGAAGCTTTTACGACACTGAATTGTGGGCGCATGACTCAACCAGTATTCACCGTTTTTTTTTAAATCACACTGATGTTACAGTGTTGCTGAGTAGCGTGAGCTGCTGAAGATCAAGGAAGTCACTAAAGCATTTGAACTGTTATTCATTTGAAATTTCCCATGACAACCGTTTGAAACTTCCACTTTTTATTCCGGTTAGTGAGTCAAATGGTTTCCCCATGTTTGTTGAATGCTTTCTCTTTCTTATGTCACTCATAAAGCCTTTCAAAAGAGGAAGTGCCTGAGAGTACCGTTTGATTCTTTTGTCCTTTAGAAAGGAGATCCTTCAGGAGTATTTTGACCTGTCCAGCTTGCTCCAGGATGAGGTGGTGTGTGTCCATAAAGAGATGGCCAAAGCCTTAAAAAACATTGAGCCTCATAGAGAGTATGAGAGCTTCATTCAGCAGAACAGGTAGAGTTTTGTTTTGCTTCCTGAGTGACCCTACTTAAACCCTTACCAAGCCATGGCGGGCCCAAAGTTTTATTACACACTGCTATGACCTAAGAAAAGTCCCTGTAGTTAATGAATAATATACTTTAGTATGTAATAAGCCTGAAATGTTAAGGGGTTACATGTATTAGGCATGCTTTGCTAGTCTGGACCTATTAGTAGGAGCATCTTACATTATTTGATAGTGGATGTCTGAATTTAAAGTAGGGCCTGACAGGTGTATCTTTTGACCCATAAAAATTAGCCAATAGGTCCCACGTGTTTAGTTTCTCATACAGTCATATGCAAAAGCTGAATGTCTTGTTGAATTTCTAAGTGACAATATATTGAAAAAAGTGAGACATAAAATCTAAAATGTTTCATATCTTTTGTGCAGGCCACATATTATGTTTAATTTTTTTCCCAATGGTTCAAATTGAGCACATCAGCAGTAATTGTGCATTAAAATGTGTGTTCACTATAGAGGACGTGCTTATTTTTGCTTAAAAAATGAACCAGTGATGCCCAAATTTTTGCTAATACTGTACCTTTAGATGTTGTATAAGAAATTGACATTCAGGAACAGGATGCTCGTTTGAACAACCAAACAAATGTTTTATTTTATTTCAGTTAATGAAATTTAACAGTTGACTGATAATTGTAATTGACAACGGATGATCGTATCACCACTAGGGCCACTAATTGTTGATGGCAGCCACAGAATCAATAAGTAAAATCCTTATTCCCTTCCATTTTGTATTTAAAAGCATTCTGCCATTCACACCTCCGATCCACTATTTAAAATGCCAGTGCTAATTTTACTCTATTTACACATATAGTAGTTGGCTGCTCTGTGAGTAAATGTCACACTGGAGTGCAGGCACATAGAGAAAATAGTATTTTTCATGCTAAATTATAGTTAATTGTATTGTCATTGAGGCCTTTTCACATTAAGTCCACTTTTTTCATGTTTAACGCACTGAAACCTTCACATCATGTTCAGTGTGCTATTTTTTATTAAACACTGAGAACATGGAAAGAAAAAATAGCTTTCCTATTGAGATAAGGTTACTAAACTCATCTGAGGTTTTTATCATTTTAGTCTGTCCGTAAGAATTTCAGCCTTTGTAAGAATGCATTGATGAAATTATATTGTTTTCCATAGTTTTCTTACGCAAAATGTTGTACATTAAATAAGATAATCCTTTATTAGTCCCAAAATTTCACAGTGCTACAGCAGCAAAGGGACAGCAAAGCACTCAAGAAAAGAAGCAACAAGAGAAGAATTAACCTACAAAGTAATTAACCTTGTTATTACTTAACAAGGTTACAGTTTATTTAGTATATATATAGATTATATTTACAAAAATTAACAATATAAACATTATACAAAAAAAAGCAAAAAAAATCTTTACACTATAGAGATATTTTACAAGTATTGCACATGGAGTATTGATTATATTGCACACAGGAAATGGTATTGAGTTCCACAGTTTATGTGCTGTAGGTGTGTGAGGTCTACAGGGGGGAGGGTTCTTCTGAGCGCAGTGCTGGTTGTTCAGTCTAATTGTATACATTGTATATTGTTTACTGTATATGTGTTACATTATATGTTTATTGTGTAAGTGTATGGTGCTACTACAGTTGAAGTACATCTTGATGTATTTTAACCTGAAACAATTACCATCGACACGTTTTGTGGCGATAAAAGGAATCAATCACTCAACGAACACAATCAGGAGCTGAAGCTCTGCCGCAGCGCTCTGTCTGTGTGGTAGAGTTTGAGACTCCGCTTCAGAACTCTGAGCATTAAAATGAGTGAAATAAACTGTAAAAGAAAGTATAAGCACTTGTTTTTTTTTGTCTGTAAAACTTGGACTGGTGTTAAAATGGCCTTGGGCTTTTTACTTCCTCTGGTGCAAATGGAAATTGTGATAGATTTACAGAACATATAACTGCGAAATGGTTTTAAATAATGAAAACAACACACACATATATATATATATATATACATAATATATATATAACAAAATTATTTATACATATATATTCTGGGACAAAATTATTTATATATATATATATATATATATATATATATATATATATATATATATATAAATAATTTTGTCCCAGAATATCAATTTGCAAAATTACTTATTATCTCAGCCATAATATCAGTCAGTGCTGATATGAGCACTGTTTAAATAAAACTAAAACTAGTTGGTTTCCTTTTTCACCATGTAAAATTATATCAGACTGTATCAGGTATTGGAATTTTTGCCTCTTTGAAACCAAAAGTTCAATGTCAGTCAGGCCCTAATTTGGATCACTTTAGGCATTCTTGCTACTCATTTTTCCTAGATTGGGCTTTCCCCCAGAAGCTCTTGTAACTGAATCCTGTAATTGAATTGGCCCGGCAACCTTTTGGGTCAAACATTTCAAAGCTATTCTGACTGAAAGCCAGCTGGGAGGTTTTAAAAGCTTTGTGCTGGCAGCTGTTCATCACTTAGCATAATGTGGAATGTCAGGTAAACTGGGTGAAAGTGATTCTGAAATTCCAGCATTACAGCTTTGATATTTACAGAGATTCATTTTTAACGAGGATAACAAGGTGATAAACGTCAATCCTGAAAACTGAAGTTGTTGTAACATCTACAATTCTAGAATTTCTTCATCTCATCTTTGTGTGTTTATACAGGTCAAGAGCAGATGTGCCTCCCTGCGTGGAGTTTGACAACAGTTTGCTCGAAGATGCTGAGCGTCTGAAGCCTGAAGAGCTGGAGCTCAATGAGCTGACTCTGGAAGGGATCCAGCACCGGTGCCTACTGCTTCCCTTACATGCTGTAACACTGCGGGATAGTGGCATCAGTAAAAGCTGGCATAGGACTCATACACACATCAGTGCACCCTGCACACATTAGGACATATGTACACTACTCACAGTAGTTAAAGTAGTTTAAGTTTCTTTGGGGACTGTTTTGCCTCACAACACTCTACATGTACCTTTCTGCCATGAATGGGTTTAAGGACAAAAGCTTATCTAAGGTATGTGAGTTAAAACTATATTTCAGGCATCAGACAGCGTATTCATAACCACATAATGTAATAACTGGGAGCTTTTAGAGGCATTAAACCCTTCAGTTGTCTGGTTCCTATCACCATCACTGTGAACAATTCTGATTTGGTAAGTTCCTCTAGAACGACACATTTCAAAATCAAATCACTCTGAATGACTTTGTACCATGTAATTACGCAAAAATTTCGAAAAATCGGTGGAATTGTCCTTTAAGGCAAAAATTAGTGCCACGGCTACCTTTTAAAACCAATAGAGATATACTCTGCATCTCAGAAACTAATGAAGATATAAGCCTGAAATTTTACTCACTATCTGTTTGTCCTTATTACATTATTTTCCAAACCACCATGTTAAGCAAACAGAAGTGGTCGGCTGGGATTTACAGAGTAGCGCATGACAGCTGATGCTACACAAATTAGCATACTTCAGTATGTAACTTGTATTTGACAGACTTGCAATGCCACATAAATGTTTTCTCAGCTTGGTTCTGAAAGATTTTCTTGTTTACGATACTTTGTGACTTTGTTCTTATATCCTTCATCCTGCCTGCTCACGCCACTAGCCTGCAGTTATTTCTTGCTAAATTGGATGTTTACAACTGAGGAGCACTGTAAAGCTGGCCTCCCACATACACTGCCTTCCCTCTGTCCTCCTATTGTGGAGGGACTGCTAATGCTGCCCTCTCTCACTCCCGCAGGCTCACGGCCGTGGAGGAAGAGCTACTCAGTCTGGCGGCTACTCTGGGAGCACAGCAGGCCACCGTCAACCAGCTGGAGCTGGACCTAGAGGCTGAGGAGGGTTCAACCAATGCCGGCCAAAGGTAAACTCTCCCACCATGGGGCCAGTCCTGTAGCCATCTGTGGGGATTTTAAAGCAGTTGTTTAGTGATTTTTCCCCTCTATATGACATAAAAACATGTACAGCATTGTGCAAAAGTCAGAGATCACACTTGATTTATTTAATTTCCAGTCCAAACAGCCATTATGGATGAGTTAAACAGATATTTCTGAAGAGATTAGATGTCAGATATTGAGTTGAATGTCTTTGGGGTTACCTGGAACCTGGGAAGAAGAAAATGCAACCAACTCCTAATACTGAACTTTGCAGATTTTTTCAAAAAACTAAAATTGAGTGTACTGAGAGAATAAAAGCTGTAATAAAGACTTTATTGATACTGAATGTATTGTTATGAAAATGTGCTTCATAACTTTTTCCATAGCACTCATTTGTAAAGGGGATTTCTGCATGATTCAATGTTCAGTCATGGGTACCTTGCAATAATGTATTGTGTTAAGTGGTTGAGACTTCTTTATAATTTTTTTTTTGTTAAATATATGTTTTCTACTATTTTTCAAGACAAATGAATAGCAGAAAATCAATGAAGGGTGGTCTTTGACTTTTGCACAGTACTGAATGCACAAAGTAGCAAAATACTTTTGTCTATTTTCATACATAACAGTGGAAAAACACGTAAGCAAACATATAAGGTTACTGAACAATTCAACACAGTTTGGGACAAGTGTATGGTGTTCTAGGCTTGCAGTTTGCGTGGTACTAATTGGTGACCATATGCTTCCATTACTTGTTAGCCTTGTAGCTCCATGTCTTGGCTGAGCGAGTGCATTTGAGGTAAGGGCATAATTGTGCAAATTCGATTTTTCGCTAAACTATTGCTTTAAAAGAAAATTGCACTCATTTTAATAGATAGTAAACGAAGTCTGAACAGTTATAGTGACATGAAATGGGTTTAATGGTCTTCCCTTTTAAGCTGCGCATTATCCCTTGGTATATTTCATTCGGTCTTCAAGAGTGAAGAGCGCCTTCATGAATATTAGATGTACTGTGTAAATGGTGGACTAAGTGCTGGACTAATCTGTCATGGTTTATATGCCTGTCCAGTACTGTTAGAAGTTACTGCTGATTTATTGGGAGTTAATACAGTGTGTAATTAATGGGTGGCCCAGGAACAGATGGAGCAGCTCTATGACTGGCGCTGGCCTGAACTTTATCATTTAAAATGGGATTACTCCTCACTTTACACAGCTCAGCTTGCATTCAACAAAGGCAAGTCCATCTCACTCAAGGTTTAGCACTTTTCAAAAGCACTTTGCAAATAATAGTTAATGAAGACACATTCCAGTAAATATAGAGAAATGACTGAATAAGTAATCAGGCACCCTTGACATTTCTATAGATATTTGATTCATAGCACTTTTACCATGTTTCCCCAAGTAGCTGTTAAATTATGAAATGTATTCTTTCAACCTCAGAGTGGAAATTTCAGTTGACTAGCCATAGTTGGTCCTTGGTCCTTAATGGCGTATACGCATTGAAAAGCCACTTTTTACATTTTAATTATTTCTTCTGTGTATCTCATTGAGATAAACAAATTGAAAGTATTTTCTAGAATTTGAATGTAAATATAACTCTTGAATAAAACTGTCTTTTAAACCTGCCCATTTGCTTGAATTACACACCTGGCATCCTTTCCTTGCTGCAAGTTTATTAATACTTGGCCTAGCTGCTGAGCTGACGTTAGGTGTTTATATTAGTTCAACTGCAGCTGAATGCAGCTGGTGTGTTTAGTGATATGACTGGTGTGGAATTGCATAGAATTGTGTAGAATTTAGGTGTAGCCGCTGTTCCATAGATTGTTGTTGGAGTAGGAGAGTCACAGTGTACATTACGTTGCAGTGCATTCTGGGAGATGCAGCACATTGTGAAACGAGCTAAAATTAATAGACATAACTATAGGTAGCCCTCATGAATCGTCCACTTATCCATCTATGTCTCTTTGGCTAACCAGGGTGTACCAGTTCAGCAAGCGTAACGCACTGGAGGACAGCCGGCAGCAGGTGGTGATGTCTATGGTGGCGCGAGCCCGACTGGAGGCCCAGCGAAGGCTTCTGGCTGATAAACTGCAGAGTTTGGGCAGCAAGGAGGCTCCGCCGGTGTGCCTGGATGACGACCAAATCTCTATCACCTCCAGCAACTCTAGCGTAAGTGAAACCTACACGGAAATGCTCTCTTCTCATTAGACTGTGGTTTAAAGCATATTAAGCAACTCTCATGTACTCCTCCTGTTCTGTGTTTGGATGAATTAAGTTGGGAGTTGGTGCTGTTTACTTTAATCCTGGCATTTACGAGCATTGTGACACGGACAGTTAAACACCAGTCTTCAGTTGTTTGCCCAATGTCTTTACCGCAGAGACAGTCATACAGACATGTTGGAACAGCACACTAATCTGTGATGTAATGACAGTGCCTTTTCTCACTCATTTCTCTTATAAGCCCAGCATTATGTAACCTGTTGACTCAGAGATTGTTAAGACTGTCAACTTTACCAGCCGCTCTGTGGATTCTGGATTACCCTGACATTAGCATGCTGTAGCATTCTTCCTTTTCCTAAAGCTTAACCCTCAAAACAGATTCATTAAAAATGACACTTTGTGTCCCTATTTAGATACATCCAGTGTTTATGCTAAGTCAGGCCATCCATGGTTCAAAGACAAGCACAAATGGTTCCACTTAAGATTTGTGCCGCAGTGTTTTGGAAAAACACTGTGCGTCAGTTCCAGCTTTGCCTTTACAGAACATTTAAAATGTTCTGCAAGGTGAGAGTGTATCGGAAGGAAAATGTAAAAAGGTATATATATATGTGTGTTCGTGTGTGTGTGTGTGTGTGTGTGTGTGTGTGTGTGTGTGTGTGTGTGTGTGTGTATATATATGTACACTTCATGGCCAAAAGTATGTAGACATCCCTCCTAATTTTGGAGCTTTGGTGTTTCAGCCATACTCATTACTATCAGGTATATCACATAGACAAGCAACCTCCACAGACAAACACTGGCAGTAGAATTGAACTGAAGGGTTCAGTGACCTTAAACATGGCACTGACATAGGATGCCACCTTTGCCACAAGTCAGTTTGTGAATTTTCCACCCTGCTAGATCTACCCCTGTCAACTGTAAATGCTATTGATGTGAAATGCAAGTGTCTAGGAGCAACAACAGCTCAGCCACAAAGTTGTAGACTACACAAACTCACACAGCGGGGCCATCGAGTGCTGAAGTGGTTAGCATCTAAAAATCGCAAACCTATCCTCTGTTGCATCACTCATTACAGAATTCCGCTCCTGTGACCGAGCAGCTGCACACAAGCCTAAGATCACTATGCGCAATGTCAAGCGCCAGCTGGAGTGGAGTAAAACACACTGCCACTGAACTCTGGAGCTTCACTGTCTGGCAGTCTGATGGACTAATCTGGATTTGGTGGATGCCAGTAGAATGCTACTGACTGGATGCATAGTGCTAACAGTACTATTTGGTGGATCAGGGATAATGGTCAGGGGCTGTTTTTCAGGCTGTATAGTTCCAGTGAAGGGTACTGTTAATGTTACAACATACAAAGACATTTTAGACAATGATGTGCTTCCAACTTTGTGGTAACAGTTTGGGGAAGACCTTTTTCTCTTCCAGCATGACATTATCCCTGGGCACAAAGTGAGCTCCATAAAGACATGGGCCTAATCCCATTTCTTTTTTACCCCTACCCCTTGTTTTTGAGTGTCGTGTAGTAGTTGAAATCTTCCCCTACGAAATGGGACATGGAACTTCAAATCAAAAAGAACATTGCTTCATTAACAGACTACTAGCAGTGCTCTGTAGGTGACCCTGCCAGTCTGCTGTGATAGCAGAGGAGGGTAAAATTCAGCAACCTCACAATTATTTATTATCGCCCACTTTTAATTCTTCAGTGATATGAAGCTAAAGTCAGCTATTCACCAGCTTCTTGTTTGAATTTTCCTGTTCCACATTAAACCATTTAGAGTGGAACAGAAAAATCTAGCTAGCTTGCTACCGAGACATCAACATACTACTAGTGATTTTTTTATGCCTGTTATGAAGGACCATAATATATTGAAACAACATTAAACGTTAAAAGTTAATACAGTGGTTATCCTAATAATGGAGAAAATACTCATATTTGTGGGTGTCTTTGGTCGCTTGTGCAGTCATCTTGCCAGTTTTTCTTCTTTACTCATAACACTCGGTTTGGAATATGACTCTGAAAAACCTTCATTTGGAGGGCTATGTAGCCCTAACACTTCACCCTACCCCTCTATGTCAACAAAAATCAGGACCCCTAACCCTACCCCTAGACTTGAACACACAAAACAAAGAGCTAAGGGCTAAGTGGTAGGGGTGAGGGGTGAAAAGGGATTCAGCTATAGTTTGACGTGTTTGGTGTGGAGGAACTCCAGTGGCCTGCGCAGAGCCCTGTCCACAACCCCACTTGAACACCAGTGAAAGTAAAATGTTAATTGCGAGCCAGACCTTCTCGTTTAACATCAGCGCCTGACCTCACATTTTGACTGAATGGGCACAAATTCCCACAAACACCCTCCTATGGGATGTACAGCAAGCTCATATAGGGGTGATGGTGAGGTGTCTACATACTTTTGGCCATGTAGTGCGTTTTCAGGGCACATGTACATTAAACATTATTTCTAGTCCAGTTATAGCTGTGCTATGTTTTGGCTGAGTGGCTCCATAAACCCCACATTCCATAAAATTGCGGGAGCTGGCAGATTTATCGCTGCTGCCATTCAAAAACCCTCAATCTTTCATGGATAAGTGAGTTGCTCAGGCTGTTGTTTTTGTTTACTATGTCTCCTCCAGGAAAGTGACGTATGTTCCCTTTACTGCTTTTCATTGTGCTGCGCTCCACACCCATTATTCACCATAGAGGAAGATGTGTATCTTTTTTCCAGAGGAAAAGCCGTTCAGGCAGAGTATTAGAGATGATAGCCTATTGTTAAAGCCTCTAAAAGCCTGGACACATGATTATAGAGGGGGAAACCAAATCAGCCAGGTCATGTTCTCTCTATCTCTGTCAAGGGAATCGTTTTCACATTCAGGGCATTGGTCCTGTTCCAGGATGTGTACAAATAAGCATGATTGGTTACACAGTGAGAGCGATACTATGGTGGAACCTGCTCTGCTTGGGGCTTCTGCAGTAAGCACAAGTTTCTGTGGTTGGCGGTGTTGCACCTGCAGGTGCAATAGTTAGAGATGTAATTCTCTGACTTCACAATATGATTATAATTTGAAACAGGTTGATTTGATTAAGTTATTTTGATAGGGGTGCAGATTTTTTTTAAATACAATACAAAAGTCAGAGACTGCCCTGGTCATTAGGTATATTTATTTTTTTCAGCTTTAAGGAAAAAACAGCAGAACATATTTAACCAATAATTACACAGAAAATAAATAGAATTTCAGATTGTGTTCACATTTTGCTGTTATTACAGCTTCAGCCTTCGTCCTTTTTGAGAGACTCACTTTAAAATGTTCAGAGAAATGTGCAGGGATATTCTTCCACATCTCCAAAGTTCAGTCTTAAAAGTTGGTTGCATTTTCTGCTTTTCACAGTCCATGTAATCCCAATTACAAATTTGGACTCAGTCAAAACAGCCTTACTCTACATCTTGGATATCCAGTTTAGGCCAAATGTAAACATTTGTCTGATACCGCTAATTATTTTTAAGCAATTATCTGCTACTATGGAAATGATGCTAATATTATTGTTCATTTCTAATCTAAAACAAGTATTACTCTAATAAGCACTAACAGCAGCAGACTTTGTTTTTTATCATTACAGTTGCCTTACTTTCTGTATATTTATGTATTCTAATTTCTTCTTTTTTCCTTGAAAAATAAGCTGCATGGCTCCTCCTCATGCTTCATGTGATTGACTTTGTAGTAAACAGCACACTTTCTTGTGCACATGCACGAGGGTTAATCATAGCGTGGGTGTCTGAACTTGAGTCAACAGATAATGTTGTTAACCACCATTGGAAAAGGAGTTAACTGGTTGCATTTCTTAGGTTTTGTGAAGCTGAAACTTAGTCAGTAAAAATCTAAAGCAAATCTAAAACAAATGGTTAAAAGAACCCTGAGAATTGTATGTTGACCAAAAATGAGCACATTGTTTATTGAATATTATTATAATTGATATAGCAGTCCAACATTGATGTGGATGAATCACCACCTTCTTGACACACATATGCATTTGTATACCAACATTATTGTTGTTGTTGTTGTTACGCAGGAACTTCAATAACCTTCACCTTTGAAAATGTCCTTGAATATCATTATAATAGATTATACTATTAAAATCAATTACCATGCATCAGTGCACCCCACCATTCGTAATATCTTAAGTGCCGTACAGCTACAGTGATGCGATCATCAGCATGTCTTCTGGAGCTCTTTATTATCACTGTGGTACAGATATACTGGACAGCAAGTTTTGCACTGCATGTTTTCACTTACAGTGCACTCTTCCTGTCACTCAGGAGCGAGAGAAAGATAACAGGCTACTCAACATGGATGGCATCATCAGCCACCTCAGCAGCCTGTTCAAACCCAAGTACATGGTAAGTGAGATTTCAGTTAGGCTTCTTCCTCTTTCTAAAATAACAGCATGAGCTAAGTTTCAGCTGTTCAGAGTCTGGCCACGCACCCTTTAGCAGCCTGCTTTGGTCAAGATTAGCAGTTCAGTCTCACGCTTTTGCTGATATGTCTTGAACACTTGGAAAATTTTATCTCTCTGTGTCAGTGCTTCCACAATCCTGTTATGATCCCATTGTGATTACTCTGCTCTAACCCACCTGATTCAATTAATCAGCCAGTTAAAAAGCTCTTTAATGCATATGCAGGCCTGCATTCCAATTCCTGAAAAGAATGGCACTCTCAGACTTCCCCCTCCACACCCCTTCACTCCGAAGAGCATTTCCATTTTCAGAAGGGGAGAAAAGCTACTCCTTGAACCTTCAGTGTGACTGTAGAAACCTGGAGTATTCAGTCAACCCCATTTGCCCAAATGCATTTTGATTTTGTCTTAACTATATGGTGAAAAACTATCCCCAGAGCTAATAGCTGGGCTATCTCAAGTGCTAATAGCTAGACTGCCTCTGGAGCTAATAGGTTATTTTCAGAGCTAATACTAGCTATTCCCAGAGCTAATAGCTAGGCTTCCCCAAAGTTTTAATAGCAAGGCTATGCCCAGAGTTAATATAAAAGACCATCTCAAGAGCTGATAGCTAGGCTGCCTCTAAAGATAATAGGCCTTCTCAAGAGCTAACTTCAATAGCTAATATATAGGCTAACCCCAGAGCTAATAACCATCTCAATAGCTAATAGGCTATCCCCTGAGCTAATAGCTAGGTTGTCTCCTGAGCCAATAGCTAGGCTATCCCCAGAGCTAATAGCTAGGATATCCCCAGAGTTAATAGCTAGATCATCTCAAGGGCTAATAGCTAGGCTATCTTTAGAGATAATAGGCTTTCTTGAGAGCCAATAGCTAGGCTATCTCTAGAGCTAACAAGAAATAATCCTTTAAGCTAACATTTGGTAGCTGCGTGTAATCATGTTGTTGTTTGTGCTTGCCATCGCAGTTGATTTCAGCAAGTCACAAATTTCTTATAACTAAAGTAAATGCTAACTAATATAACTAATGTTAACTTGCTTTCTCTCATAACAGAGCAGTCCACAAGTTAGCTGAGTGTACACTCTTAAAAAAAAATGTTCCTAAATGTGCTTTGCTTGGATGTGCAGTTCTAAGAATTGGCAGTTTTCTAAATATAGTGATTGACACTTCCTCCATCAAGTGAAGAAAAAAAAAACACTGACAGCACTAAATAGCTAAGGGTAGTGGGTAATGGGCTTTGTCCAAATTTTAGAAAAGAACTGTAGAGTTATTTTTCTCGTGAAAGGAATCGTATGTGAATGTGACAGTGGGATCATAATTTTCAGAAACGCAAATCCCGTATCAGATTAAATATCTGCGAATAAGTTTGTGCAAGTTCTGTACAATCCTCTTATCGTAAATACAAATCCTAACTCACATCTTGTTACATGTTCATAGTGCGACTGCAAATCATATATTTCTGAATTTGCATATTGCATAAAACTGCATCTCCAGGTGGATGCTTCAGAGAGCTCACTGAACTAGGCTCAAACAAAGGCTGTGCTCATGTTATCGGTACTTTAGTTAGCGGTTCTATGAGCTGTGGTTACAAACTGTGAAAACTGTAAATACACAAAGCGAGATATAAACCGTGACCTGAGTGTGAGAGTTATTAAATTGGTTACTGATTTGCGGTTCATAAAATTATGATTTCAGCATTCACATACATTTCCTTTTGAATCACAGTTCAGCCCATATTGCACCTTTATTCTTTGAACTTATGTTCTTTCCTCATTATTGTGTATTGTATTTACTGTAGTTTCTTTAAAGAACCATCCATTAAAAGGAAAGTGGCATCATTTCAAAGAACCCATTTTGGCACCTTCATTTATAAGAGTAAAGCACAAGCATATGTTCACGGCTGTTCCATTTTTAAATTGACCGCTCCCCACATTTCCATTAGCACACATGTGCAATGAGGACACAGTTCGTGATGGTGGAGGGGAAGTCTGTGGGGAAAAGAAATGGAATTGGGAGCAGGATTGCTATCCACTGTGCTGCACAGGCTGCTGATTGTGCTGCGATCTGGACACTGTGTCGTGATAGTTCTAATGTGGCACGGACGTGTCCTGGTCTGTAGAGTAGTGTGTTTTACAATGTCCCCCAGGTGCCCCCCGCTTTGTCTCCTGTGCCTGAGGTGGAGAAGCCTCTAAGTCAGCAGGGCTGGTATCACGGAGCCATCCCGCGCGTGGAGGTCCAGGAGCTGCTGAAGAATGATGGAGATTTCCTGGTCAGGCAGAGTCAGGGCAAGCAGGAGTATGTGCTGTCTGTGCACTGGGGTGGGCAGTGTCGCCACTTCCTCATTCAAAACACAGAGGTGTGTGGAAAAAGTGCAAAAATATGGAAATGTGGAGCCTTAAATATACTGAAGTCAACGTAAACAGTGATCTATGTTTTAACAGATAAATGAAGAGTTTTCTTCTTTTAGTGATTCATGATGGGTGACATAATAGCATACTTGAAGGCAGTGAAATGAATTTGGTTGGATGTTTTAATAAAAACAACACAACTGATTGGCAGGAGAAAAAGAAAAAACTGCTGTTTGAAAGTCTAAATGAAAATGTAAGGAGAAAAAAAGTTTTCTCTCAGAAATGAAACTGAGTAAAAGTATTCAATTTCAATAATACTCAAGTACAAATCTTCCAAAATAATACAAAACGGGGGCTTCCACCAATTTTTCAAAATATAGGTATAATTAAAAGGTTAAGACATAAACAGAGCTATTTAGAGAGGTTTGAAAGAAATGCTCTATTCTAGAGTCAGACTTGTTCACATTAGTCATGATAGAAGCCAGATAAGGTTCCACAAAAGAGTTTAATGTCTCTAAAAGCTCCCTCACAGAAAATGATTACATGAAAAGGTAATTAAAATGCTGCCTGATGTCTAAGACAGTGATTTACATCTTATCTATCACTATCACTCTGAATGACTTTGTTTACATTTTCACTGAAGCAGTTATGCAAAGATTTTGAAAAATTGGTGGAGTTCCACTTTATGTACACTACGTACACTATGCAAAAATACAAAAGGGCCAAGCTCTAAATACTAGTGTTTTTTACTGATGGTGTTGGCCTGGTCAGAGTCTAGATTTTTGTATTTAGTGAATTTAATGTTTGTTTTGTTTTGCACAAAGTGTGTAGTAATGAAGTATAATTAATCAAGTGTTTACCATCCCTGTAGCAATCACCTCTATATTAATCATTTTTATTTTATATATAATAACTTATACAGTTTAACTAACTACTTAACTAATTTAGCTATTGTAATATGTAAACTAGGCACAAAAAGATATTTGGATTTTTTAATATTTCAAGAATTTTGGGAACAACAAGAAGTTATTACATTCTAAAAATTATACCATAAATATATATTTTAAAAAGTAATGTAATCCAGGCTTACCTGAATATTGAATATTAATCTTATTATAAATAATCAGATTTATAACTGCATTCTCAGTGTTCTACAAGTCTCTCAATCATTTAAGAAACATCTACATAATTTCTTTTTTCTTTTTTTTCTTTCTTTCTGCTAATTTATTGTATTGGAATTACTGTTAAAAATTGAAAGCTACTCACATAGGGACTCTTCATAAGCATTGAATAAAGTATTTATAAAGCAATACTTGTACATATATTAATAGCTTATGCCAGTAATAATAAGATGATGTCATTTCTTAAGAAGTATGTGTCATTGCATTGACATGATGCTTCATAATAGTACTGTACATGGAACAAAGTTTAAGTGTCACTTTAGTTTAACGCCCTTTATGTCCATACAATGATTTACTTCATTAACGTCCTATGTCATTTTGTGATTACTAGCATAAGCTAATCATAAATACTCAAGTATTGCTTTATGAATGTTACCATGCTTTGCATGCTTTAAGACATCCCTGTGTAGATTAGCCTATTAGTAGTTTTACTGAATATACATGTACCAGCTATATTATAGTTATATAGTTTTGGAAATATTTCAGCCTCATGTGCAGCAACTTGAGGCATATTTAATGCAGCTTTATGATTTGAAGAAGACGTGAAGTTAAATATGTGTGCATGTGCTTTTTGGAGTGTTCTACATCCTGTGTAAAGCTGAATGGTTAGAAGTGTTAAAATGTTTTTCATTGTGTGAAAACCTCTTTGTGGACGCACACTTGTGTGTGTGTGTTTGTGTGCATGTGTGCGCATGCAGGGAATGTATCGTCTGGATGGTGAAGGTTTTCCGACTGTACCACTGCTCATGAACCACCTCCTCAACTCGCACAAAAATGTCACTAAGAGGACAGACATAGTGCTGAAAAGGCCGATCCTTAAGGTAGCCCTCCTCACCTCAACACTATCAAAGTTTGACCAAACATCTAATTTACACAATTGCCACAAATGTAGTTGATTAGCCAAGACATCTTTGGTGTGTGAAGTTTGTTTCTTTAGCTATTGCACTGGAGCTAAAAGGCTAATGTAGCTAACAAATAATGGATATTTATAGCCGCCAGTTAACCATTAAGCAATACATGTCGATTTCATAATACATTTGTCTCAGGCCATGTTGAGCTATTGAGTAATTTCAAATAAACTTGCTTATATGGTCATGTGATACTATATGACATACTGTGTCCATAAACATAGACAAAACCATTCAGGCCTGAAGATACTACCACTACTGTTTTTACTCATGCAATATACTTTTGGCCGTTTGTATAGATAACAGAATGTTACACAGTGTCCACATAAGCAAGTCTGTTTGAAATTGCTTGCAATCAATTAAATCCTATATTCAATTGAAATAGTACAAAGACAACAAATGTTCAAATTAAGAAGTGTTATTGTGTTTTGAAAAATATATGCCCATTTAGAATTTGAAAACAATTATGACAGGGGCAACAAAAGACTGTTAAAGTTGTGTAATGCTGAAAAAAAACACATTGTGGAACATCTCACAACTAATTAGGTTAATTGGCAACAGGTCAGTAACATCTACAGTACATAATATCATTAAATGATTCAGAGAATCTCTGTATGCAGGGGACAAGGCAGAAAACCAGTGGCTGGCTGTTATCTTCGTTATCTTTGATAAAATTCTGTAATGGAATTCACTGCAAGTGCTGCACTGCATACGAATGCCACCACCTTCTCTGGGCCCAAGCTCATTTGAGATGGACTGAGGCGAAGTGGAAAAAGTGAAGTGTCCGTGGTCCGACGAATCCAAATTTGAAATGCTTTTTGGAAATCATGGATGCTGCATCCTTTAGACTAAAGAGGAGAGGGACCATCTAAGGAGACCCTGAACTGTTGAGCAGCTGAAATTCTATATAGAGCAAAAATCGGAAAACATTTAACTTTCTAACTACTCCACTTGGTCTCCTCAGTTCCCAAACACTTCCAGAGTGTTGTTAAAAGAAGAGGTGATATAGTACAGTGGTAAAGACACCCCTGTCATGCACTTTTTAAAAGATGATACTCGAATCAAGCTTAAAATTAACATATATTTATACGTTTCTCAGTTTCAACGTTTGATATGTTGTTTTTGTACTGTTTTCAATTAAATATAGGACTTAAATAATTTGCACATCATTGGATTCTGTTTTCATTTACATTTTGCACTTGGCAAAAACATAGTTTTTTCCGAGACTCATTAATATATTTTAGTTAGGACAGGCCCAAACAGCATTTTACAGGCTTCAGATACTCATTTGTAGTTCCAGATGAGCAGCCTAATACCTGTTTTCAAAATCTTCTTACAAAAACTTCTTTGTCTGTGTAGGAAATTTAGCTGTCTGTCTGATGGAACAGATATGCTTCGATTTTAATAAGTCTCTTCAATCTATTTAGGTCCAAAAGGTCTTCACAGTGATCGTCTGCACACCAGCTATGCTAAATGCACATCTTACCTTCCTCAAACCCAAGCTCTTACATACTGTTGTGTTTTTTTATTTATTTTTTTCCCAAAAAATCTGAGGTTCCCACTAGTAAATACAGCATAGTGCTGGAGTTCATGTGCACTCCAATTGTCAATATGATATTTCCTCACACAAAGGCAGCATAAGCACTTATCAGGTTTTCTTTATCATTAAAAATAATAATAAAAGTGTGGCTAATAATAATAAAACTGAAGTGTGGCTTATTTTCATGTTATAATTCATGTGTTAACTTGTTCAAAAGGTAGTGTGTAAATGGTTAGGGTAAATACCTCTGAATTTCCAACATTATTAGATCAAAAACACAATAACAGCATTCTTAAATCACATTATTAATATAAAAGAGTAAATAAAACAGCATTAATAGCCTTTTTTGTATCAGCCTTTGAGGGTTAGAAGCAATTCATAATCGCATTACCACATGCACAGCACTGGCACAGACATACTAAAAGGCATGAAACCATCAAAGCCAATGACAACATAGAATAGAAGAGGAAGCTGAAACTAGAGAGCGGAAACGGTTGCCCATATAAAGCCTTTTTCAAAAGTGAAAAGAGTCAGTGGTCAGTAAGAGGATGTAGTGTTTCCATAACTTAACCTTTAAATGATTGAACTGAGGTGGCATTTTCCGCTGCTGAGAGGTGAGATATATGGTGAGTGGATATGTTCACTACTGCGAGGCTCTCAGATGTTAGATCAGATGTGTCAGAGCATCAGAAAGCAAAAATAGAAGGTTCCCTGGACTGGGATCTGAGGCCACTAGGTTAATTGTGTTAAACTAATTCTGTTGTTGCTCTGCTTTCATCTCTTCCTTTCAAGGACAAGTGGGTTCTAGAGCACGATGACGTCATACTTGGGCAAAGCATCGGGCGGGTAAGCACACATATGTAGTGTCCTGTTGAGTGGCTCTGTAAAAGGTTTGTCAGTTAAGGATGCTAGTGGATGGACTGAGTGACCCTGTCATAAAAGATTTTCTAGAGCAATCCATTAGCATTTTAACCCTCCACAGATGCTTCCCTGACCCTGTTCATGCATACCTTGGGCTGTTATATCTGACACACCTACAAACTGCCAGGATAGTGTAAAACTGTCAAAATTTTTATTGACAACAATAATGACTTCCATTTTGTTATATGTTTGACATCTTAATGAGCAGACTTACCACTCAGTGCTATGTTGTTGCATCATGGGCGTGACAGTTTATGATCTGAGCTTGTTGTGTTGGTTAAATAGCAGTGCTATATAAAATTGTGTGTGTGTGTGTGTGTGTGTGTGTGTGTGTGTGTGTGTGTGTGTGTGTGTGTGCGTGTGTGTTTAAAGGGAAACTTTGGTGAGGTGTTCAGCGGCCGCCTACGCTCCGACAACACACCAGTGGCAGTGAAGGCCTGCCGTGAAAACCTTCCACCAGAACATAAAAATAAATTTCTCATGGAAGCTAGGTACTCTCTCACTCACTCACGCATATATTTGTTTTCATAAGGAGTCAGGACATGCAGTACTGTGCAAAACTGTTGTATGCAAACACAAAAAATGGCTTTTCCATAATAAATAAAATCAGACAGCACTGATTTGTTAACTGTCTTTTACAGATATTTAATTAAAAAGAGCATAAAGAAGAGATATTTAACATTTTACCTTATCAACTTTACTGATTATTGTAAAGATGTGCAATTCCAAATTTGATGCCTGCAACCTTTTTTTTAGAACTTTCCACAAGCAAAAAGGTGATTAGGTAACAGGTGATGCTATCATGAATGGGTATAAAAGGAATAGTCACAAAAGGCTTGGTCAGCACTTTGTAAAAAGCTGTGTGAGTGAACAGTCTAGCAGCCAGTTGCACCAGCTGAACCTAAGTTCAATCATAAGTTGGGAAGTCCATCCTAAACCTTACGTTGTGAGTGGTTAGTTTAAAACTAGCGGCACACAGAATTTCAGTTGCACCACAGACACTTACGGTACATCTTAAGTAGTAGTGCGTAAAGTGATCGTAGGTCAAAATGCTGTCGCACAGAATGACGTTGTCACTCTGCAGCCAATTAGTAACGCTACCCGACATAAACTGGAAATGTATAATCTCGACATACGGTATATCACTTGCTTAAGATGTGTCGGTTGTATTAGCTATAATTCAAAAAGAGACTGTGTTTTACAATAACGGGGTGTCCTCAAAGCGCCCATCTCTTGTATGTCTGGTTATTCTGTTCTGCTGCTGGAATTTTTCGATGTTCAAACTAGGTTCTCATGTGCAATATTTTAACGGCACTTTATCCATTAGCGGTCAGTACCGTTAGCGAAGCTAACAACATAATCTTTATTTGAAACTGATAAATGACATAAAAGGTGATGTTAGCTGTGTTAGTTAGCTATATTCTAAAAAGGTCAGCATCACACACTCTTGTGGTTATTTCTCTTCACGCAGTTGACTTGTGTGCTTGTGTGAGTCACTCACCTGTTTTGGAATGATCCTGTAGAAAAATATCTCGGTGCCGGACAAAAAAAAGGGCACCATCACTGTCTGTGTTGTATAAATCTGCGGCTAGGAGGTCTGCGATCTTTTCTATCTCCAGTTGACGAAAATGGGTGTAATATATCCTGCAGAACTGGTTGTCGATGCAAACCGAGACATTTTCAGTTTTATTGCAAGTTTTCCCATCGATCAAATCGACCAACCATTTTAACTGATTTTTTATGGCAGAACTTAGACCTACTATAGGGCACGTTTAAATTTTAAGTTATATGCTGAAACTATGTTACTTTGTTCAACCAGTTAAATTCTAGTTGCTCGTAAACCTGAACATAGGGTCAGTTTACATTCAAACTAGGCTACGATTGAACGCTCAGAAGGTGAAACTGGCTGCAGCAGTTTAAGAACAACCATTCACCAATCGTTCATAGGAAGAAATTTCTTGAAGCCCACATACCCAGTTTTCACAAAGATTCTTACATCTACCAGTGTTTTCTTATTTGGGATTGGCTCTATTCTGGGATTGGTAAGAACAGGATCTACACACTCTCAAGAGCACCAAAGTATGAAAGATATTGGTGAATGAGGCCTAGTGGTCCTCAATGCACGATTGCAGGAAACTTGCAAGAGAGGTTTCACCATCTACAGTGCATACCATTATTAAAGGATTCAGAGAGAGAAATCTCTGTGTGTTAAAGGGTGAGGCAGAAAACCAACACTGAATGCTCGTGACCTTTGTTCCCCCATGTATTGAAAATGTGCTCCTGTCCCAACTTTTTGGAACATATTGCAGGAATCAAATTTAGAAGTGTATATATATATATATATATATATATATATATATATATATATATATATATATATATATATATACACAAAAACATATTTTGTATGTATTATATATATAAATACAAAACAGTTATGTTAATTAGTTTCAGCATTCATATCTTGTCTTTGTGCTGTTTTCAGTTGAACACAGGTCATGAAGGATTTGCTGTCTGTTTTTATTTACATTTTTCCTACCATCCCCACTTTATAGTAATTGGAATTTTTAACATGAACACAGCACAAAACAACAAGAATTTCTTCATTTCAAAAAAGTATTTGCCATGCTGTGAGCTAGGTAGAAAAACACAGATATGGTTCCAGATTTCTCCTCGACACCCTCACCCATCACTTAGATTTATTGAATTCACTGAGCAGCACACTAATTTAACTTAATGAAGCATTAATTAGCCAAACCAAGTATTGGGTGATGATTACAAATAATACAGCTTTGGAAATGAATAAACAAAATACTGGTACACATAAAGTCAGTCATTTTTATAAATGTTTCATTTGTTCTTACAGTCATATTTTTCTGAGCTTTAGAAAAAGCTTATCAGATTTTCTCAGGTGGCTTAAACCTTTGCATAGTATGTTTCATAGTCGTTTATGTATGTAACTACCTCCATGTAATATACCCCATATGTATTTTATATATGTAAATTTCTATATGTAATGTCTTACGCATTGGAAAACATGAATTTTAATGAGTTTTAATGTAGTTTAATAGAATGTTGCTGTTAGAGGTAGCTTTAAATGTATGTATCATATATATATATTTATGTGTGTGTGTTTTTGAGGATCTTTTTGATTTCTTTTATGGTGAAGTTAAAAGATTTAGATTTATCATGAGTTATTAAAAAAACTTAAGGACAAGTGCTGCCAAATGTTTTCATGTCACTATTGGTACACAGTTTTAGTCTGAAGGCAGATCCTTATTTTAGCCACGCCCCTGCATTTTAGAGCTGGAAGTGAGACTGCATCCCTGTCCCTCATGGCCACATGGTGAACAGTTGGACCTTTGTTTTGAAGTATATGTATCCCAAAGACCGAAAATCAATATGGAACATTAAGAAGTATCAGTACCGAAACAGGAAATAGGTTTCTGTAGTGACATGATTGTTTTGTTAGTGACAAGAAAGTGATAAAATTAATAGAAGATAATTTATTACATAATTAGTGTGTAGGGTCAGTCAAAGCAATGTCTATTATCCTTTTATTATTATCCTTATGTGTATATATATATATATATATATATATATATATATATATATATATATATATATATGCCTTCCTGCCTTCCACCCAATGACCACTGGGATAGGCTAGTATATATAGTATATATGCAAACACATACATATATACATACATATCGCTGTTGTCGTAACAAAACCTCGTATCTCCATATCAATAACTTCACAGGAGAAGGAAAAAACACTTCTTTTAATGTAGGTAACTAATATGTAAAATAAATTCTTTTGCACTTTTAGTGAAACCATTGCAGTGTTATTTGTTCTAAGCTCAACTGTTTTTCTCTAGTTTTTTTTAACATAGTCAGGACATTTTGTCTTGAAAATATGCAAAAACAAACAGATACACACACAAGCTGTGAGTCTGAATCTCTCACTGTGTGTTAAAGGATCCTAAAGCAGTACGACCATCCAAACATAGTGAAGCTCATCGGCGTGTGCACGCAGAAGCAGCCCATCTACATCATTATGGAGCTGGTGCAAGGTAATGACCCGCGACCCGCCTCAGACATCACTCTGCATGCTCACTGTGTTAACGCGGTACTCACACGAGCGGCTGTGTTTGAACTTCTGCTTCAGGGGGCGACTTCCTCTCCTTCCTCCGAACAGAGGGGCACAACCTGAAGCCCAAGATGCTGATCAAGATGGCAGAAAACGTGGCGTCTGGCATGGAGTACCTGGAGAGCAAGAAATGCATTCACAGGTGAGAGGAGGTGTTCAAGAAGAGGAAAGCTGGAGAGATGGACAGAGGAAGAGAGGATTACAGTGGATTTAAAGCATGTAATTGAATCTGTCTGTGATTTGCTGGATCATTATGTTAGTTTCCTCTTCCCGCTGAAAGAGAAATGTCCAGAAGATGGGCTAATGAGGGAGTAATTGTAAAAGCAGAAGTGTTGGGCAGGTTTTAGCGGCTGGTTTGGTCTCTGAGGAGTGAAGGACAGTTGGTTGAAGGCAGAGCCAGGCTGGGATAGGCTGGATAATGAGCTCAGCAGGGATGAGGCTTCACACGGCGGCTGCTCCACTCAGACTTAGTCACACAGAGCCTGAACCAGGAGACCCTGCACCGCTAACACAGCCAACCCCCCCCCACTCTCTTACACTCTCTTTCTCTCTGTAACTCTTTCTCTCTGCATATCTCTCTCTCTGTCTGTCTCTCTCTCTCTCTTTCTCTCTGTATCTCTCGCTCTGTCTCTGTCTTTCTCTCTCTCTCTCTCTCCCTCTCTCTCACTCTCTGTGTATATCTCTCTGTATCCCACTCTTTGTCTGTATCTCTCTCCCCTCTCTCTTACTGTATCTCTCTGTTTTTTTCTTTTTTTATCTCTCTCTCCCTGTATGCCTGTTTTTCTCTTTTTCTTGCCATCTGTATCTGTCTGTCTCTCTCATTCTGTGTCTCTCTAACTGTATCTCTCTCCCCTCTCATTGTATCTCTCTCTTTATCTATATCTCTCTCCTTTTATCTCTCTGTTCTCTCCCTCTTTCTCTCTCTCTCTATCTGTCTCTGTCTCTTTCTCTCATTCTCTATCTGTATCTCTCTCTCATTGTATCGCTCTGTCTCTTTCTCCAATTATATCTCTCCCTCCTTCTCTGTATCTCTGCTTTTCTTTCTCTCTTTCTATCTGTATCTCTCTGTCTCTGTCTCTCTCACCCCTCTCTCTCATTGTATTGCTCTCTGTCGCTCTCTCTTTCTCTAACTATATCTCTCTGGTTCTCTCTCTTGCTATCTGTATCTCTCTCTCCCTGTCTATCTCTCTGTCCTTGTATCTCTCCCCTCTCTCTCGCTGTATCTCTCTCTGTATCTCTTTCTTTCCGCCTCTTTCTCTGTGTATCTCTCTCTGAATCTTTCTCTTTATATCTCTCTATCTTTCTCTCTATATCTCTGTCTCTCTCTCTGTCTGTCTCTCTCTCTCTCTCTCCTTTGGTCTCTCTCACTGAATGTTTCTCTGTATCTCTCCATATCTCTTTCTTTCTTTCTACCTAATCATCATCATCATCATCATCATCATCATGGTCATTTTCATGATCATCGTCATTGTCATCATCATTGTCATCTCTGTTGTCCTGTCTTTCCCCCTTCTATTCCTGTCTTCTGTCTCTTCATTTTTCTACTGATATTTCATGTTTTCTTTTATGCTTCTTTTTTCTTTTCTGTCCCTTTTATTTCTTTCATTTTTCTTGGCTTTCTCTTGAGTTTTTTTCTTTGTTTCTTCTGTCTCTCTCTCTCCCCTCACAGGGACCTGGCTGCTAGGAACTGTCTGGTTGGAGAGGAGAGTGTAGTGAAAATAAGTGATTTTGGCATGTCCCGCCAGGAGCAGGACGGTGTGTACTCGGCAACCGGCGGCATGAGGCAGATTCCAGTCAAGTGGACCGCGCCGGAGGCCCTCAACTACGGTACAGCCAAAGCAGCTGTGACTTTACCAGACTCCACAGATGGTTAAAGAAGTGATACCTCACCATAAAATCTAATTTACACCATTTCAGCTCAAATGTAGTCAGCCGGAACATGTTCAGTGTCTGAAGTTTGCTTTTTTAGTTTTGCACTTGAATTACGAGGCTAATGTAGCTAACAAGTAAGGGAAGCATATGACTACCAATTAGCACTGTGCAAAAATAATGGACAAAAGTATAAATAAATTGAGGCTTCAAGATGGCAGCTATACTGTTTTAGCTGTAAAACGTACTTTAACAGTGATACAGTGTCAGAAACCACATAAACGAATTTTTAGTGATTACTTGAAAGTCATGAAATCAACATGACTTGAGGCAAGTGTGTGATTTAGGCCTTTGTGCAGTGCAGTAATTAATGGGGTCCCATTACTTGTAAGCTACATTAATTTCATAGCTCAAATGGAAAACTGAAGAAGCAAACTTCAGACACCAAACTTGTCTTGGCTGACTGAACACTTTTGGGGTAGATTATGTAAATCACTTGTTTTTTTTCCAAACTATTGCTTTAACTAACACAAGGGATGTTGCATTTACCATTTTAGGCCGTTAAGTGTTTGCTTATTGTCATGTCTCTTTTGTGGTGAGGCACTTTGCCACCTCACACTGAGCAGCAGATTATAGATACATTTGAGAGATGTACAGCAGATGGTGAGCTTACTGTGATATTTGGAGTTAGTTAATGGGTTATTATAGTGATCTGTTGGGTGTCTGGTTTCTGCCCGGAATATCACTAACCGTGCTTGTTGTCACCTGGAGAGTTGGATTTGGTCAGCTGCAGATGGGCTTGAGTGACTCGATGCTGCCCCCTGGCTGTGTTTCAGGGCGCTACACCAGTGAGAGTGACGTGTGGAGCTTTGGAGTGCTGCTGTGGGAGACGTTCTCCAGGGGAATCACACCTTACACCAGCATGAACAACCAGCAGACCAGAGACGAGGTCGAACGAGGTGAGACCCGTTTCAAACTGAGATTTACTTTCAGTCCAACCAAACCCATAATATTCACATTGTAAAAGTGGGATGTGAGCTCCACTCCTCGAGATCCTGTTCAGTGGTCCCTGCACGACACACAGCTATAATTCATAATTATTAATTGAAAGTGGCGTACACATCTATCCTCACAATTTCTTGTGTTCTTTGTCTCTTTTACAAAGCGTGTTTGGTCAGATACTATAACCACTGCGGTAGCTAACGTGGTGCTGTGATGACCATGGTCGTCCCACCTGCTGACGACCTGCTGTTTCAGGGGCTGAGGCTTGCTAATATCACTCTGTGAAATAAGGTCTTAAATGCACCAAGTTTAAATAAGCTGGTGTTACACAGAGACCCAACAACATCAAATGACCTAATAACCTAGATCAGGTAGTGTCAGGGCAGACCACCATGGTCGCCACAATAGCATGGGAAAAGTGTTCCCATTATGGTAAGACAACACCTGACTGTTTTTTGAAATGAATCATGCTTGTTAGTTCTAAACGCAGTGTACACACGATAAACATGTGTCTATTATTCTGCCCACTGTTTCTTAATTTTGGCCACAATTATCTATCTTATTTATTTATTTATGTATTTTTCTTACTTATGTTTGCATTTAAAAAAGCTGGTCTGTTTTAATTTGGCATTAATGCATCATCAAATATCAAATTTTACCTGATTCAGTTTGATTATATCATTTACATTCAAAATTATTTAGAAAAACAAACAAAACAGTACATCAGGCTGTACATTTTCTTATTTTTGCCTTTTAAAATAGAAACTTTTATTTTGGAATTCAGTGCATTCTTAAATTCCAAAATGTACAGTGATTTGGTTTGATTTGGATTTTAGTACTTCTGAATTGCTTTTAAAAGTACACAATAAAAACAACACATGAGGCTTTATTATTTTTATTTTATTTATTTTGTTTTTTATTAATTTTTTTTACACTTAAAAATAGTCAAAAACCTTTATGATGGCATTCGGTGCACATCAAATCTCAAATTTCACCATGATTTGATGCATTTCTTCATGATTCAGATTTATTTTTTAAAAATACTCAGTTAAAACAGTATACCAGGCTTTATTTATTTTTCTTTATTTTTACATTAAAATAAAAATTTAACACAGTGGAAAACTAAAAGCTAAAGTGTGCTGTGACTCTCCACTTTCAGCTCGTAATACACTAGTGTTCAAAAGTTTGGAATCACTGGGTTTATATTAATAATCGCTGTTGTTTCAGCCAATAATAACATAAACAATGTAGGTTGAAAAACTATAAGCTAAACACCTGAATGTATTTTAAGATGTTTTCATTCAGTATCTCAAGTTTTGGGAACATGTAAATGTTAAATAGTATGCTGTAATTATTTATTTATAGTAATTTATTGATACATGATCTACCTGGGATTTGATCATCACATTTCTAATATGAAGCGTTTTTGGATGTTAATTTTATTAGAACTTCATTAAGGAATCATCAACAGGTCTGTTCATTAGTCTGGACACATCTAACACGTCTTCATTTCTTCTAATTAGTTGAAACCCACAGCTTGAAGCTGTGGAGTCGTAGCATCTTAATGGATTCATTTCAGCATTTTTTAAATTTAATTAAAAACTGTGATCTCAAACTTGAACCCCTGTGTAGCTGTCTTCACGTGTTATTTATAGATAATAGGGAAAAAAATTTAATTATCTTTTACAGTTTCACCCACATGTTATTGTGTTTATGTGAAATAGGAACACTGTGTTAATGCTGAATGATTGCTAATACTTCTTATTTTTATCTCTAGGCTATCGTATGCCGGCTCCCACTGGCTGTCCAGATGAGATCTATGCTCTCATGTGCCGCTGTTGGCAGTATGACCCCAGACACCGTCCTTCATTCCAGAAAATCAGGGCAGAGCTGCAGTCTCTCTGCCAATGATGCACATTCACAATGACAGCTGTGCTTTTTCACAAGCAAAAACACAGAATCTGACTGTGCCTTCAAGATGTAAGCTGTCTACATGAGCAGAGCGTCTGATCTGGGAGTACTTGTGTTATATATTTTGCTTCCCCAATATTTCATAATAGATGCTTTAACTTTTATAATGTATTTAAATTGAACTCTTAAACCCATAAGGGTTCTTAACTTATGATCACGGTGTGTTATGATATTGTCTTACTGTAAATAAAGTCAAATGAGTGACTCAGTGGAATCTGTACAAGGCTTTATTACTTAGGCTGTCATTTCCATCAGCTTCATATCACTGTAACTCACAGCTGTGCAGTATAGTGTGAGATAAGTGAAGACAAATGACGTGCAGGCCTGTTTCACAAGGCCTGAAGATTGGAGTCAGTCCTCATTCACAGTGATTCAGCAAATGAAATGAGTTTGAAGTGTGTTGGTCTCGTATGACACAAAGTAAGCAAAATAAAGCACTCAGTTCATTGCAAATTGGAATACGGAATCACAGCCAGCAGCTTTTTGCAGCTTAGCTTGATTCTGTTTGGAACGCAACCAAAGTTGTTCTGTTTGTTTTCTCTACAAAACATGACAAAGCATACATTAATATCAGATGTTCTTGTATCCAGTCTGGCCTGTAGTTGTTGTTTTCATCTTGCATGCTCTGTGTGACTTTAAATGAGGTCCAGTAGACTTCATTATGGGGTGTTCTTGGTCTTAGCCTTTGGGAAAGCAGTGCGTACTAACACAAAGCAACATGTAATATGCTTCTTCTTTTGGAGTGATGGGTTCTTCCTTTTGTCACTGTTTTTAATATACATTATATACATTATGTATGCATTTAATATACATTTAATATATCGTCACTATCCAAAGAAATCCTTCTCCTGTAAAGTTACTACTTTGGAGATACTTGTTTTTCTTTGGACAGTGAGGATATTTAATATACATTGCAGTTAATATACTTTTAATATACGTTAATGTTACAAAATTTTACAAAGTAATTTTGGAGCATTTTTATTAGTCTGTTCACCATGAAATGTTTGCACGATGTAAGCAGCAGCTGCTGTGCACCAGTGATGAAGAAAAAAAAATTAAAATACATGATTTTGATATTTTGATGAATTTTTATACAAATTTTGTATAATCATTTTTTTTGTGCACTTTTTGAAATAAGAGTTTGATGGAGCATGTAAACATTGTTAAAGTTTCAAAAAATACTGCTCACTGCCATGTCATATAATCAATATATGGAAACAAAGCTGCAAAAGCAGACTATTTTAACTTCTGTTTTTGTGATGTCACATAACCCTCGCATATATATATATATATATATATATATATATATATATATATATATATATATATATATATATACACACCCACACACACACACACACACACACACACACACATACCTATTTAACCTACAGCAGTTTAGCAGAACAGAACTCATTTATGTATACTAGATATACTAAAATACAAGAACAGTGTAGGATAAGGGTCCTTTAATGGGCAATTTTAACATTTTTTCTAATTTTCCTGCATAATTAAGTTGTTGTAAACAAAGTCATTCCGAGTGGTTTGATGTGAAATGGTTCATTGTAGAGAAACTTGCCGACATCTTTACAGTGGTGCTGATAGAAACCAGGAGTTATAATCTAGAACACATTTTATTTACTAGCCAAAACCATCAGTGAACATACACAAGTCTTCTGGAGAGCTGTACCAACCTGCATCTAACTTAATCTAACCTAAAACTAAAAACCCCCCTTAACCTAAAACTAATGCACCTGAAACAGCCAATTAAGGACTTCTGAAGAAATTTGTTAGCTGGAGCAGGTAGACAGATCTTCAGGACCAGGGTTGGTGACCACTGTTGTAAACTGTAGGACCTGTACACAAACCTCTTAAGATTAGTTGTGTGCCACGTATGGTGAGGCCTGTTGTTAACCCTGCAATGTGACAGAATGCTATGCAGTACCAGGAAAAGTTAAATGACAGAATTTTACAGGAATTTAAAATCAATTCTTAGCCTTCACCTTATATTTGCATAAACTGATATAACAAACACAATTGTCATGTGACACGTCTCATGGTAATACATACTGATTGAACTACAGCCTCTGTATGCAGTATGTTTAGTATGCAATTACTTACTGTTAACTTTTGCCCTAAAGTCTTGCCTGCGGCTTGACTAGCGGTCCTAAAGTGGAATGAGGTGATGACGTAGGATAATGCGCAAGCACCGCATGCATTTGCATTTCAGTATAGTTCTCGTGTCTGTACTCGCCCCACCATTCTTGTCGAGTAGGTCTGTGAATGTCAGGAGTCTTTGGTATGCGGCTCGGCTCATGCAGAGGCCTTCCGCCACTGTAAGGAGGCCGCTGTTTGACCTTTAGTGAACTGAGGCATGTGTACCTAATGACCACTAGAGGGCGATCTGCTCTGAATGTTAATAACAAGTGCAAGTTCTTTAACACCTTAACGTTGGCCTTCTTCACTGGCTCTCCTGCCTAGTACTGAACAAATGATGCTAATACAGACTCTGCTACACTGTCCAAAAGTTGGTAGACACCTGCTCATCCAACGTTTCTTCTGAAATGAAGGGTATTAATAGGGAGTTTGTCCCTCTTTGCTGCAGTAACAGCCTCTGGGAAGACTTTACAGTAGATGTTGGAACATTGCTGTGCAGATTTGATTGTATTTAGCCACAAGAGCATTAGTGAGGTCAAGTACTGATGTTGAACTATTAGTTCTGGATCACTCCAACTCATCCCAAAGCTCCTGATAACGCAATTCCACTGCTCTACAGCCCACTCCTGGGGGGCCCCTCTAGCAGATGGTGGCATTGGACATAGCTCCTGTATGGTTTCACCAGCATCTCATTCTATTTGTCAGTGCTTTTCTATGGAAATTATACAAACTGGGTGCAAAATTGAACACCTTTGTCAGCAATATGTGACCTCAAAGAAGCTGAATTCCCTGATTAGATGAACTGCTTAGACACTTCTGACTTACAGGCCTGCATGTCTTAGTATTTTAGATGAAAGTGCTTGTGGTATGTCATGTGATTTTCTGCATGAGGTGTAGTAAATGACAGAGGCAGGTGCTGCCACTATTTCCAAGGAAGCTGCCCTGTGTGGAGAGAAAAAAACAGAAAGCACATTTGAATGTCACTTTCATGTGACTAAATCTACGTTCATATCTACTCAATCTTCACATTACATTCATGCCTCGTCTCTCTTTTTGAGAAATAACAAAAGATGATAATAGGTTTTATAAATCACCATTCATACTCTCTGTGCAGCATGCATTTGATTGTGTTTCATGGTAGCAAAAGAAACAAATAATAAATCAATGCAAAGTAAAAAAAATCCATATAAGAAGACAAATAAATGGATAATTGAATAAAAACAAACATAAAACAGGATGGAATTAAAGTCTCTGTATGAGATAATAACAATTAATATTGTGCTTTCCAAGGTACTTTTTACTTTACACTGTAGGGTGCAGAATGGGAGCTGTGCATGTAGTTTGCTATGAAACCAGAAGTTACACATTCTCTTCCAATTACCCCCAATAAAATCCCAGGCTTATTACATACTAAGACTTACTGTTCAGTGACTACAGTGACTCTAATGCTAGTTGACCTATTCTTAGGTTATAGAAGTGTTTAATAAAACATTGGTCTTTAAGGGGTTAAATTGGCTTGACATAGAATAGAAAGTAGAATAATAAGAATAAGAAATGTTTTCTATGCTCAAAACTTTACAATCCTACTCTTCAGACAGCTTTCAGACTAGGACAATGAAATGATCATAGAGCTGAATAGGCTGCTTGTGCTGTTTTAACTGATTCAGTGTACAGTATTTGTACAGCTTTCATACAGCCTCTATCTCTTATTCCACCACAGTCAGTATACACTCTGTTGTCAAATGTTTTGGGCACTTCATACAAGTCATCGTTGCCATTATACAAGTATGCTAGCAACATTTAGCAACCACCTAGGATAGCACAGCAGTGGCCTAGTAACACCTTACCAACCACCTAGGATACCATAGCAATCACCAAGAAACCACCTGGGATACCATACCAACAGCCTAGTAACACCATCGCAAACACCTGGGATACCATACCAACAGCCTAGTAACACCATAGCAAATACCTGGGATACCATACCAACAGCCAAGAAACCACCTGGGATACCATATCAACAGCCAAGAAACCACCTGGGATACCATAGCAACAGCCTAGTACACCTTAGCAACCACCTGGGATAATATAGGCCAAGCAACACCCTGGCTGGCCTTTTTCAAAAAATTCAAAGAATTATTTATTTATTGTTTTATAATTTTTGGAAAACAATAAAACAAACTTTGAAATGTGCTTTAACTTTATATATTTCATTATTATTATTTTTTTTATTTAGCAAATTTATTAAAGAGTAATAGTGCATTAAAATGTGCAGTGGTATGTTCTCTGTAGAGGATGTGATAACTTATTTTTACTTAGAAAATCAACAAAATGTAATTTGACCAGGAGTGCCCAAACTTTTGCATCTGACTCTGTATGTAACAAATTTCTTTTGCATTTAAGCATAAGCCTTTACATAAAACTGTTGTTAAGTTTCTAAAAAAATCATGTTCAGTTAGACATGTTCAAACTTTTGACAGTAGTTTAGAGTATATTTTCCTTCTTTTACCAAGTTACTATTCTAGAGACACGATTAGTTTTCATTTTGGACATTTGACAGCAACAACGTGTCAAGTTTAGTCACAGATTTTGGCTTTCGTAATAAAGATGTAATAATGGGAAACTTGCATCAGCGCTCTGCAGTAACACACTGTGTGTTCTGGACAAAATGCAGACATACAGGAAGTCCGAACTCCTAGGAAAAGCTAACACACCTTCATATCACTCAGCACCCCATGACTCACACAGCCACCACAGCTTTACTGTAACAGTTGATCAACAGGCCTTGGAATTGCTACTGTATCCTATGGGCTGTTTAAGTACTGACAGTGAGCTTAAATTACCATCAACAATAAGTTCAAACAATAAGCTGCTCTTTTACAGCTGTTTATTTTTCAATAAGAGTGAGTCATTTCAAATAGTCACAGGGTGTGACTTACCCCAGAAAATGTGCACTCATTTATCATCTTCAAAATCCACATTGAAGACATGCATTGCAAATTTGATTTGTTTTTTGGGCCACATGTTTTTCATTCCCCTGGTTTCCTATGTGTGATT